TAAAAAAGGGAATTTTTTAAGTTGATTACTAAAAATGAAATGGGTTTCTTGGATAGTGAGATTGAGAGAAGAAGATGAAAGGGGAAAAGGGTTGAGAAGGTGAAAAATTGATTTTCAAACAGCAAATAATTAGTTACAATGTGACTACATGTAATAAAGTGATGGTAGAGGTAACTGGTTGTGGTGACGTTGTCTTGATGTTTTCCAGCGAAGAGATGAAGGAGATGACCGAGAGGAAGAGTTTCGGGTCGGTTGTTAGTTTACTTTCCTTTTGTTTTTATTTTAATTGTTAATATTTAAGAAAATAAAAAGTACCATTATACCCTTCTTAATTTGGTCCGAATTGGTCAAATTTTGACTTTTCTAGTAAACTAACGGTCAATTTGGACCTCAAATGCATATTTATGAAAAATTAAAGATCTTCGCTAGCACAAAATAAAGGTTAGAATAAAATCCACAAAATTTGAAAAGATTTTGAACCACTGCTACAATTTTCCCTAAAAATTTTCTTGAAAAGTAAATTTAACTCGCTATTTGTTGATGACTAAAAATGACTTAACAAATTTAAACCAACTTAAATGAAATTTAGTTAATTGATTGCTGGAATTTGGAAAAATTGAAACATAAATTTTATTGATTGAAGTTTGAAATGTATTGAAGAGAATACATTGAGTTCGATATGTGGAGGGGATCATTTGTCCCCATTCATAGGCCGAAAGACCATGCCACCTGCCCACTCTGTGCCATTTTAGCTACAATGTTGGCCTAGAAACGTGTGCCACTTCCCAAATTTTGGTCCTTTGATTGGTCATTGATGGTCATGCAAACCACCATGACATCCATAGACTATAGCTATGGCATCAAACAATGATTAACTTACATTGGGTAATCATTGCAGGCTCGTGATTGGATGAAAGGAAGGCACTAACGGCTACCACATATTACTCTGGGAGTGATTGATAGTTAAGACAGAAGCAGCTTGTCAATGACATCAACACTATGAATCTTACCCAAACACGTATTTAAATCGACTTTAGCCTAAAATAACCAAGAAAGACAACCAGAAGAATTTAGTAAGAGAATGAGAAAAGATTGGCCATGTAGCCATTCCTGCGAAGCGAACCAAATGAAAGAAAGCAAGCAAGATTCAGGACTCCTAGTTTGGTCACAGAATATGCATAATTACACACCTAGCAACAGATTAATAACAAAAAATAATAACTGATTTTCTGTGCATTTTTATGCAATGCTTCTCGCTTTCCAAAGATCTAATTTACAAGAGATTATCTACATCTCACTATACTCTATCAAATTTATTCACTGGAGGCAGCAAAATATTTCTCCCTTGGGAAAACACTATGGTTAGATGTTGTAGACTTGCTGCTCGTCATATCCCATCCGGCCCTAAATCCTCTCCCCTCAAGGTGTCTATAACTGCAAGGATTTCCAGGAAAAGAGAGGAGATTAGGACATTTGAAGTAAAAAAAGTTAAAAATTTCGAGTCCTATCAGCAAAATATCAATCAACATTCGACACCAACCTAATGTGTTTTATATGCGCATAAAAACTAAAAATCATTTGGAAAGTTGAAATTTTCGTTTAAAGAACTCTATGCCGGTTATTCTAACCAAATTTCAGTGCACCAAGTCTTTCACTTAGTAGATGTATAAATCAAGCAACTTGATTTCAGTAACTACAGTATCATTAAGGCGATTGCTTGAAACAACAGTTAATGCAAGATGAGCTTGTAATTGTATTCTCAACCAAGAAGTGTAGAAATGAAAATCAGCGTATGCATACTAAACAAACATATTTAGCATAACCATTTGAAACCATCTATTCTACACAGTGATAGGACCAGTACAAGCAATAGCTTCAATCCAAGCTGCCATCTCCTGTAGAAAGATGCAGCTACAGAATGCATGAGAGAAGTGGCCTATATCTGCACTGAGGTGAAAATCAAATGCACGTGCCAGAAGCAATAAGGCTGACAAACTTTACAATTTAGATGTTTTAGGATCTCGATATACATAATAAAGGCTATATGAGAAGAATTTCCTATCTATGTTCTCTACGTCTGCAAATGCAATTGCCCTTATAAACTATTGAGTATTGATCCACCTCCACACCACACTACACCACACCACACCACAAAAAGTAATCATTTCTTTATTCATTTATGAAGGTTGCACGAACTAGGAATATAAAATTTTAAAAAGAAACATTTATCTGAAAATTTGTATTTTTATTAAATGTAAAGCATAATGGTGGGTTCATTTTCCTAGTTGTTTAATGCCATCTGTGAAACTACATATCCAGCAAGGAAGGAAAAAATAAATAAATAAAATAAGAATTTCCTATCTATGTTCTCTACGTCTGCAAATGCAATTGCCCTTATAAACTATTGAGTATTGATCCACCTCCACACCACACTACACCACACCACACCACACCACACCACAAAAAGTAATCATTTCTTTATTCATTTATGAAGGTTGCACGAACTAGGAATATAAAATTTTAAAAAGAAACATTTATCTGAAAATTTGTATTTTTATTACATGTAAAGCAGAATGGTGGGTTCATTTTCCTAGTTGTTTAATGCCATCTGTGAAACTACATATCCAGCAAGGAAGGAAAAAATAAATAAATAAAATCTGAACCACATACAGACAATACAAATAAATCAAGCACTATCGATAATCGAAGTTTAAGCAATGTAAAATGCCTAAAATAATATATGTCAAACTCATGCTGATACAGAAAAGGAGAGGAGACAGATAGATAGATAGATAGATCAGCCAGTGAAAGTTTAACACAATTGCATGCCATAGGAGAATATTTCAAATATAGCAGAAGGTGGATTAAATAGATACCTTGAAAGAAAATAAAGAAAATAACAAATAAACCCTTAACATTTTCAAACATTTGTCAAAGTAAAACAAATAATTTAGTTTGATTTTTAACTTTTTCTGGATAGTTCTCATTCAAGGTATTCGAGATATAGATCTAAAACATCAATCAATTCATTACCAACTACTGCTGATACAGAAAAGGAGAGGAGACAGATAGATAGATAGATCAGCCAGTGAAAGTTTAACACAATTGCATGCCATAGGAGAATATTTCAAATATAGCAGAAGGTGGATTAAATAGATACCTTGAAAGAAAATAAAGAAAATAACAAATAAACCCTTAACATTTTCAAACATTTGTCAAAGTAAAACAAATAATTTAGTTTGATTTTTAACTTTTTCTGGATAGTTCTCATTCAAGGTATTCGAGATATAGATCTAAAACATCAATCAATTCATTACCAACTAAATTGATGGCAAAACAAGATAACCAAATCTTTTATGTCATCAAATGTCAAAGCAATCAAGAACAAAATCCATGAGCCCGGGAAAGAGCATCTTGTGATAGATGAAGCCTACCATATCAAAAACACTCCAACCAAGCTGGGGATGCAATATCCAGCTCAAGATGGAGTGCACTGCCGAGGCATATCAGTTTTAAGACAAAAAGCCTAAAATTTCAATCTCATGTTTCTGGGGATCTATTTAGGGAGATAACAATATTTGAATCGCATCATCAAATAGATGAACTCCTTAGATATATGAACAACAATAAGGCATGCTTATGCCTTACCCTTCTTTATTTCGTTACCAAATTTATCCTGTAATGTTGCTTGACTAAACAGTGTTAACCACGATCGTCGTCTACAGGAAAAGGTCAGGTGCCAACGATTTAAGGGGAAATTGCAGCGGAGATCCCTCAACCTTTTAAATTTGTGCAAATAGGTCCACCTTGGTCCCCAACAGACAGAAATCATCCGCTTCACCATTTAAATGTCACATGCAAGGTATGTGGAGTATTGTTGTGAGAGATAGAAAGGGTAAACTCGTTAATTTTATTAAAAATAAATAAAAATGGGAATAGAAAGAAAAGAAAAGAAATCAAAAAATAAAAATAAACAAATTATCCCCTACCCCAGCACCTGTCTCCCTGTAGATTTTGGCAACCCCATCCCCTCAAAGTTTATTAAACTGGCCGGTCATCCAGAAAAGGTAAAAGGTTTAGGTTAGAGGATTTGATAGGTAATTTTCAACCATGGTAGTTGTCATACCAGCTTATCATATTAAGCACCTTAGTTATTTTGTAGTTAGTGTGTTTATCGGAGGCTAATGTGTTGTGTTGTGGATATGCTTGCATCCTATGATGCACTGACACGACAAGTACGTTGTGTCGGACATGTCAATACGCGATTTTCGAAAAAAGTACTGACAACACACATTGTCGACGCGTTGATTAAATTCTTTAAAATTCTTAATTTTTATAGTATAAATTTAGATTTATACTTAGTTATTATTTTTTCTTGTTGAAATCTTTTAAAGGTGAGTACCTATTTGTTATTTATTAATAACTTTGAGTTAAAAATATATAATATTAATAAAAATGAAAAAATGTTCATGGTAGAATGTCCGAGGAGTGTCGACATCCGACACCAACACGCTACCCTAGTTGAGTGTCCGTGCCACATACATCTCTCCTCTCATTCAAACCCAATCCCAATCTGAAGGCTTAGAACTTTAATGGCTGCTTTACTATCTTCTCAATACTTGTCTGTTCCCCTTAATCTCTTCACCCCTTCCATTTCTCTCTTCACAGTAAAAAGTAGCAGTCACTGCTTGCTCATCGTCCTCCATCTCCAGTCTATTTGACATCTTTTTTCTTCAGAAAAGACAAACTGAGAAACCAGTAAAGCCACGGCCGGTTCACCAGTTTCCAGTTGGACCAGCCAGTTGACTGATTTTTCCACTGGCTTTCGTACATACCATTCTTACTAATGAGGGCTGAACTGGCCAGTCCAGTCTGGTTTTTACAACACCACCCACCCACTCTGGTTTTTGGCCATTCTCACCCCTGCGGGGCAGGGATAGGTGGGGATTTGTAGGGAATTTGGTTTTTTAACTTTACTTTGCTTTTTTATTTTCATTTCCTTCCCTTTCCCTGTTTATCTCATTCTAATTATAAAGAAGAGTATAACAATCTTTTTTTAAAAAAAAAAAGTTGGACTAAAACCGCCTACTCTGGATTGATGTGCTTTAAACTTGACAGAACAAGGATTTAATGAAAAAAATTAAACGTTCAGGACCAATTTTCATACAAGTTCCATAGATTGGGGACTTGCACTGCAATTTCCATCAATTGTAGGTGGGGATTTGTAGGGAATTTGGTTTTTTAACTTTACTTTGCTTTTTTATTTTCATTTCCTTCCCTTTCCCTGTTTATCTCATTCTAATTATAAAGAAGAGTATAACAATCTTTTTTTTAAAAAAAAAATTTGGACTAAAACCGCCTACTCTGGATTGATGTGCATTAAACTTGAAAGAACAAGGATTTAATGAAAAAAATTAAACGTTCAGGACCAATTTTCATACAAGTTCCATAGATTGGGGACTTGCACTGCAAT